GGGCGGGAGGGCGTGTGGCCACAGGGATGGCAGCGCCGCTGGCAGGGAGCTGTGCCGCAGGGGCCCTGACAGGCTCTGTGTTCCCAGGGATGGCCGGGCGGCTCCTGAGGGGACAGAAAGAAGAGCTGCAGCTAATTTACAAATGTGAGTGAGGGCAGCGGGCTGTCAGCGGGGCTGGTGGGTGGAGCTGCAAGTTCTGGACTGTCTGTGAAGGGCTGGCGGTGTGGGCGGATCACACCGAGATTTCACGTGGGGCATTAGTGGCCAGCAGCTTCGGGCTGATCCCCTTGGTCCCTGCTCCCTGCTGGCCATGGCAAGAGCCGGCTGGGATGGCCCTGGCAGGGGGCTCTCTGTGGGCCCCCGCAGGTCTGGGATCTAACCGTGGCTCTGTTCATTTCTCTTCCAGCCCTTAAGAATGTGGTTTGTGACACCAGCCCTGCCATCGGAAACCTGGCAATTCAAACATTTTACATCATCCAGGCAGTAGAGACGGCTCGATATTCCATCTTTGAGAACCTGCAAGTTCAGCTGCGCAGGGCATGGAGGACACGGCCTTGTCTGTTGGGCCTCAGCTGGCTGCGCTGCTGGAGCTCTGCTGGGAACTGACCCGGCAGGCTCTATCTGCTGGGGCCACCTGAACCAGCAGGGATTTTTGTTCCTTAAACATTGTTCTTTTCTTCTTTTCATTTTCCTTTAGTATATAAATATAGTATATGTTATAATAGGCAGTCACTTCCCAAGACCTTTCTTTTGCTGCCCATGGTGTACAGGGCATAGGGGAAGCGGGGGAAATGGGATTCCACTTGGGGAATCACAGCTCAGCAAGCTGCCCAGGCATGCAGTGGTGCAGGGAAATTGGCCAGAAACCCTTGGCCTTTGGTGGTTCTGCTGAAGGCACAAACCCTGTCTCAGGCAGGAAGCGCCGCCATCTGTGTCCTCGTGCCCGTGTGGTGCTGGCTGGGTTGCTGAGGGCTCCCAGGTCCCTCTTGATCCTGCTCCTCTGGAGCTTCTGTGGGGCTGGGTGGCTGCCAGGCCATGCTGGGGGAGACTCTGAGGGAACAGGGCACTGGGAGGCTGTAAATGGATGAGGGTCTGTGGAGGCCCAGACAGGACAAAACCGTGGGAAAGGCGTGAGGGGGATGTGTGGAGGCTGGAGGCTCCAAAGGGGACAGGAGGCCCCTGAAAGGCCGGACCGGTGGGAAGACCTGAGGAATTGGGTGTCAGAGGGCATAAGCAGCCCCCGGGCAGCCGCCTTTTTCCTGACACCCGGCTGATCTGGCACTTCCCCAAAATGTCTCCCAGGCCTGCAGCAGAAGCCCTCGAGGCTCAGACACCACCCCTCCAGGAGGGTGGGGACAGCCCAAGGTGTGCCCAGGCTGGGCTGGCTGGGGACATGCAGGGCAGGGGGGTGCTGCCAGGCCATGGCCACTGGGTGCCTCCGATAAGGGGCAGTGGGCAGAGGCAGGGCTGCCCGCCAGCCCGGGCCCTCCCAGCTGCCCAGGCCATGGTGCTGTGACCAAGACTCCCCTGACACAGAGCTCGGGGTCTGAGGAGCTGCTGCCACCAAGGGGAGGGTGGCGATGTCTCCTCCAGCAGGGCTGCTGAGTCTCTGCTGCCCAAGTGGCTCTGGAGCCCACAGAAACAGCAGCAGAGTGTTGCCGCCTGTTTGTCTACCTTTGTTAAGTTCGAATTAGTTTGTCCCAGTTGCTACCCTGTTATCCAGAGTGGTCTGTTCCCAGTTATCCATCACTGTAAACCCATCCCTTATTTCCAGAGAATTCCACAGCCATCACCATCATCTGACCTAAACCCACGTCTGTCTATGTAAACCCAACCCTTTATTCTAGCTCTTTCCCTGCCCATTATCCCTTCCTCGAAGCCTCATTGATTGTCTAGCTGCCGTCCCTCCCCCGTGTCTCTACCGTTGGTTCTGAACATTGTAATCCCCTCCTACGACCACTCCTCTGATGTATCCCCATTGGTTAGTGCTTTCACCGCCCCCTTGCCTTTAAAACCCGACGCACAGAGGTTCTCAGGGTCTCGGCTCAGACCTCTTCCCTGCAGTCCCAGCCCTTTCCCTCGTCATCACTCCCTTGCCCTTGTAATAAAACTCTTTCCTGGGAAGTTGGAAGAGACTGAGTTCTCTCTCTCCCTTCGCCGCGACCTACGACCATTGGGATTCACAGAGCCTGACTGCGTGGAGCTCTGGAGGTTCTGTGTTGAGACACATTGTGCCCGCACGGTTCCCCCCTCTTGGCATTGCCATCAGCCAGAGAGTCCAGGGCTAGCCAAAGCGTGAAAGGCCGTGAGGAACAGGCAGCATCAGCTGGCGCCCAACGTGGGGCCTCTCCTGTGTGAGGAGACCCCCGGAGAAGTCATGTGAACCGCGCGTGTGTGTGGATTTACAAAAGACTGTGGGCAGCAGTTACCCCGGTGCAGCAGACCCATTTTTGTCGGGTGGCGCTCACGGGGATCAAGGCAGCAGTCCTTGTGCGTGCAGAGGATCGCCTTGGGTTCGTGGACATCCCCTGCAGCTCCTGTCAGGATTTGGGTGAGTATTCCCCAGTGGGGGAAGAGAGGGGAGTGTGTGTCCCCCTGTGTGTGTGTTGTGACTCCCTCGGGTAGGGAGAGTGTGTTGTAACCCAGTCCTGACCCTTACTTTTAGTTCTTTACGTTGTCTTTTGCTGCCAGGGGGTGGTGGAACTGCTGAGCCGGGGGGCAGAAGATGGGGGCACGTTTGTCGGCTCAGCAGAAGAGAGTGTTTTACCAAGTTGTGGAAACCCTTGAAGGGGGGAATAAGCGGTTTTCTAGAGGGAGAGTTAAAAGACTTGTGAAATGGATGTTCCTGCACTTTCCTGATATTACCCCTGATAAAGTTAATTCAGTAGACTTTTGGAATTTGGTCGGAGTGAAATTAACAGAATTAGTAAATGAGGGGGACAAATCCGCTTCTAAATTTGTGACGCTTTTTATTTTAATTCGATCGGCACTAATTGAGGAACAGAAAGTGCAGAAACAGCCACCACAAGCTTCCCCAGTTTCCCCAGTTTCCCCATCCCCGAGTTCCTCTCCCCCTGGTCCTGAGTTGGGGGAGACCTGCAGAGCGAGCTGTCATTCGCAGGGCTCTCCCAAGGGTAATAAGATCCCTGGCTCCCCACGTCTCCCTCATAACCCTTGCCCTGACAGCCCTGGCCAAGCTGTCAGAGCACCTACCCATTCCCCTACTTCCCCAGTTGTGAAACCCCTATTAAATACCTCCCAGGTCCAGAGTTCCCCGTTAAGTAGTGCTGTTAATTCCCAGTTTCTATCCCCAGACCCCCTGTGCCTCAGTTTCCCCCAATTCTTGTTGTTCCCCTATGTTTCCCTATCCTACCCAAGACCCTCAAAATGGCCCACGAGGGGCACAAGATGGCGGGGACCACATGGCTGGGACCTTCCCTTGTGCTCCTTCTTCCCACAATCCCTTCCATCCCTCTGTGAACAATCCCTTACTCCCTAACTCCTCCCTTTCTCCCTACCCTAACTCCTCCCATTTCCCCTCGAGAGTTTCCTCCTCCTCGGGGGTGTACCCAATTGACATCACACACCTAACTGGTTATTGCTCCTCCCCCTCGCCCTCCTCCTCAGTTAGTCCTCCAGTCCCGCCCCTTCCGGCTCCTGATTCCCACGCTCCTCCTTCCGGTTCCCACGCCTCAACATCCGGTTCCCATGCTTTGGGAGCTGGGGGGAGGGGGGATGGGCCAGAGGACCAGAACCTGGAACTGGTAAATATCCCCCTTGCCACACTGGTGACTTTTCATGGAAGGGGAGGGCGGTCCCGGGAATGGGAAGCCTTCTCTTTTCAAACAAAGAGAGCTGTGCAAGGCACAGAAGGAGTTCAGGAGGGGCAGCGAATATTTTAAGGGTCTATTAAAGGCAACCTTTTCCGCGAACGAAATGGTACCCAGTGATCTGAAAGAATTGTTTTCCTGTCTCCTTTCCACAGCCAATTTCAGGCTGTGGAAACAGGGGTGGAAGAGATCATTGGAGACCATCCTTCCAAGTCTCTTGCACAGTAATGAAACTGCTGTTGATGCGGATGGAATCCCTCTGACTCTAGAACACTTGTGGGGTGAGGGGGATTGGGACAAGGCAGAGGAGCAGGCCAGGGTTCTGCCCCGGCCTGTGCTGATCAAAATCATGGAGGCCGCGGAAAAAATATTTAATACACTACCTGAAGGGGGGCCCCAGATAAACCTAATGAGCATTTATCAGCTCCCTCATGAACCTTTCAACAAGTTCATTGACAGGTTGCAAGCTCAGGCACAGAGGCAGGTTGAGAGGGCAGACTTGCAAGAACAACTTGTGTTAGAAGCTGCGAAAGCTAATGCAAATGATATCTGCAAGCAGGTTATCTTCAGTCTGCCCCTCTATCCGTCTCCAACACTGGACATCCTCATCGAGGCCTGCGCCAAGAAAGTCCCAATGGTGGGGATGTCCAGGGCCATTCCACCACCGCCGTCAAAAAAGATACCCACTGCAGCCGTGACGCAATCACTTCCACAGACACCAGCGTGGCCATTACAATGTTACCGCTGCGGACAACCCGGGCACATGGCTAGGGATTGCCTGGCAGCGCACCCTAGCCAAGGGAGCAATCGGGGGGCGAGGGCAAAAGATACCGTAATAAAAAAAACTAGGGGAGCGGCGCGAACCTGCCCTGCACGAAGCGATAAATGGGGCAGGTCTTGTGGGGGAGGGGGGTTCATTACATCGGACACGGCCAGTTGACAGGACACGACATTTAACTACCATTAAAAACATCCTCTTTCGGACCCAGCACTGGACAGTAGTTGCTGTGGATCCACTGGAGGAAGAGAGGACAAATACTGGGCATGTCTGTAAGTACATCGCCATCGGGGACACTAAATATACACCCCCAGAGACTGAAATCTCTCCAATCACCTTCCTAGGTGGTCCGGAAGATCTCATTCTCTTAGCACGCTGCATTCACCCACCATATTTCCTCCCTAAAGGTCAAATTGTCGCACAATACATCCCTGTCCCTGAGGGAGTCCCAGTAGACGACCACGCACCAGGCGTCTACTGGGCAGAAGTGGTGGGTGAAAGTAAGCCTATCATAGATTGCAGCATCAAGCAGGGTGCAGAATTAGTCAACTTGAAGGGTCTGCTTGATACGGGGGCAGATGTGACAATCATCCCCCAAAGGAAATGGCTGTCACATTGGGAATTGCAACCCGTGGCAGGAAAAATACAGGGTATAGGGGGTACCAAATTGGCTCAAGTTTCTAAGAGCATAGTACAAATTATGGGGCTGGATGGGCAATTGGCGAACTTGCGCCCATTCGTTGCAGATTTTCACGTTCCCTTGTGGGGGAGGGACCTCATGTCACAATGGGGGATGAAGATTGAAATCCCAAAAACCCCTCGGGATTTTTAATAGCGGCCACTGTGGAGTGCCCCTTCCAGAAGCTGGATTGGACCACTAATGAAGCAATCTGGATTGACCAGTGGCCGCTCCGAAAAGATAAATTAAAGGCGCTCAGCGAGCTCGTGGAGGAGCAACTAATAAAGGGTAACATTGTAGAGACCACCAGCCCTTGGAATTCCCCGGTATTTGTCATTCGGAAACCGGGGAAGGACAAGTGGCGACACCTCCACGACCTTTGTGCGATTAATAAAATCATTGTTGACATGGGGCCCCTTCAACCAGGGATGCCTACCCCAACTGTGCTC